ACTTCTGTGCCAGTCGCGGTTTGTCCATCACGAACACCATGTTCGAGCACAAGGGTGTCCACCAGTGCAGGTGGCACCAGGACACCCTAGGCCGGAGGTCGATGATCGACTTTGTTGTCGTATCATCTGACCTTCGACCGCGTGTCTCGGACACTCGGGTAAAGAGAGGGGCGGAGCTGTCAACCGATCATCACCTGGTCGTGAGCTGGATCCGCTGGCAGGGGAAGAAGCCGGTCAGACCTGGCAGACCCAAGCGTATAGTGAGGGTCTGCTGGGAACGTCTCGCTGATCCCCCTGTCAGACGGACTTTCAACTCACACCTCCGGGAGAGTTTCTCCCAGGTCCCGGCGGAGGAGGGGGACATGGAGTCCGAGTGGACCATGTTCTCTGCCTCAATCGCCGATGCGGCGGCTTCGTAGCTGTGGTCGCAAGGTCTCTGGTGCTGGTCCCGGCGGCAACCCCCGAACCCGGTGGTGGACACCGGCAGTAAGGGATGCTGTCAGGCTGAAGAAGGAGTCCTATCGAGCCATGATGGTTCGGGGGACTCCTGAGGCAGCTGTCCAGTACCGGCAGGCCAAGCGTGCCGCGGCCCGGGTTGTTGCAGAGGCAAAAACCCGGGACTGGGAGGAGTTTGGAGAGTCCATGGAGCATGACTATCGGTCGGCCTCGAAGAGATTCTGGCAAACCATCCGGCGCCTCAGGAGGGGGAAGCAGTTCTTTGCCAACACCATGTACGGTGCGTGTGGAGAGCTGCTGACCTCGACTGGGGATATTGTCGGGCGGTGGAAGGAATACTTTGAGGTTCTCCTCAATCCCCCCGTCACGTCCTCTGTTACAGAGGCAGAGGCTGAGGATTTTGGGGCGGGTACATCCATCTCCCTGGCAGAGGTCACCAAGGTGGTTGGCAGCCTCCTTGGTGGCAAGGCGCCGGGAGTGGATGAGATCCGCCCTGACTATCTAAAGTCTCTGGATGTTGTAGGACTGTCTTGGCTGACACGTCTCTGCAACATCGCGTGGCGATCGGGGGCAGTGCCAATGGAGTGGCAGACCGGGGTGGTGGTCCCTCTCTACAAGAAGGGGGACCGGAGGGTGTGTTCCAATTATCGTGGGATCACACTCCTCAGCCTCCCCGGTAAGGTCTACTCCAAGGTACTGGAGAGGAGGTTACGGCCGATGGTCGAATCTCGGATCCAGGAGGAGCAGTGTGGTTTTCGTCCCGGTCGCGGAACACTGGACCAGCTCTATACTCTCCATCGGATACTCGAGGGTTCATGGGAGTTCGCCCAACCTGTCCACATGTGCTTTGTGGATTTGGAGAAGGCGTTCGACTGTGTTGCCCGGGGTCTCCTTTGGGGGGTTCTCCGGGAGTACGGGGTCGGAGGTCCTCTGCTGAGGGCCATCCGATCCCTGTAAGACCGGAGCCAGAGCTGTGTTCGCATTGCCGGCAGTAAGTCAGACCTGTTCCCGGTGAATGTTGGCCTCCGACAGGGCTGCCCTTTGTCACCGGTTCTGTTCACTGTATTTATGGACAGAATATCTAGGCGCAGCCAGGGGTCGGAGGGGGTCCGGTTCGGAGACCACAGGATTTCATCTCTTCTGTTTGCGGACGATGTTGTCCTGTTGGCTCCAACGAACCAGGACCTGCAGCATGCACTGGGGCGGTTTGCAGCCGAGTGTGAAGCGGCTGGGATGAGAATCAGCACCTCCAAATCCGAGGCCATGGTGCTCGACCGGAAAAAGGTGCCTTGCCCTCTGCAGAGGTCCTTCCTCAAGTGGAGGAGTTCAAGTATCTCGGGGTCTTGTTCACGAGTGAGGGAAGAATGGAGCGTGAGATTGACAGGCGGATCGGTGCAGCGTGCGCAGTTATGCGGTCGCTGTATCGGACCGTTGTGGTGAAGAGGGAGCTGAGCCGAAAGGCAAAGCTCTCGATTTACCGGTCAATCTTCGTTCCCTCCCTCACCTATGGTCATGAGCTTTGGGTAATGACCGAAAGAACAAGATCGCGGATACAAGCGGTCGAAATGAGCTTCTTCCGCAGAGTGGCTGGGCGCTCCCTTAGAGATAGGGTGAGGAGCTCAGTCACACGGGAGGAGCTCGGAGTAGAGCCGCTGCTTCGTCGAGAGGAACCAGTTGAGGTGGCTCGGGCATCTGTTCCGGATGCCTCCTGGACGCCTCCCTGGGGAGGTGTTCCGGGCACGTCCCACCGGGAGGAGGCCCCGCGGAAGACCTAGGACACGCTGGAGGGACTATGTCTCTCAGCTGGCCTGGGAACGCCTTGGGGTCCCCCCGGACAAGCTGGAGGAAGTGTGTGTGGATAGGGAAGTCTGGGCGTCTCTGCTTAGACTGCTGCCCCCGCGACCCGGCAACGGATAAAGCGGAAGAAAATGGATGGATGGATGGATGGATGGTTCAGAACCTTTTAGGGATGCACCGATTGTGAAATTTTGGGCAGATGCTGATGTTTTCCTTTTTGTTATTTATATACATATATATATTCTTGGCGGCTTCAGTTTTCCGTTTTGCTTCAGCTTCATGCAATCACTGTATACTAACTCATGCTTGCTTCTCAAATGTCCAATGAGATTTATTGTTTTAACCCATCTTGGCCTAAAACACCTGGTAAAACGTACTTGTAAAACCTATGGCTGACTTTAGAAGCACCCACTAATGGGGCGTTAAGACCGGATCATGCATTGCGGTGACTTTCAATGCAACGTCAATGGTGATGTTCGTTTGAGCGTGGGACTGCGTCTGCATCGCGGCTCGCATGCAAGGACTGCGTGGTAGAGACACATGGCAGAGGCGCAGGAGCGGAAAACTCGACGCATGTAGGAGATGAACATTGCTGAACTTTTTCTGACGGCTGCACGTGCAGCGACCAATCAGAGAGCCGCAAAGTGGTCACGGAGTCACTAGCGGTCTAGCGGGCAGACTGAAAATACTCATAAACAGCCAAAACAGGAGCTAAACCAGGATTGACAATGGGGGACACAGTGCTTGTGAACATATGCCTCCAGCCTTAGTTCTCATGCTTCCCACCACAGGCCAGGACTTCTGGTCTGAACGCCCCTAGCATCTATAATTTA